AAATCCTGAGTTAGTGGCTTCAAAATTAGCATTCGAGAAGTAATTTTAACACAAACGGGAAGCATTGCTTGGAAAATCGACAATTATTATTCCAAACCTATAACCCAAATAATAATACTTCACTGCTCCATTAGCACAGTGGAAGTACTTTGCGGCCATCCCGAACAATTTTGCTTCACGAAAATGGGATCCACCAGAAAACAGAAATTATCCATTTCAATAAGGCTAAATCACAAACATCTCGGGTCGGACCTCCATTTCTGCCCAAGCGTGCTTGAGTGAGAGTGGGAGAGGGAGAGAGAGAGAGGGAGAGAGAGAGAGGGAGGGAGAGAAGAGACTAACAAGTTCTGTATGAACCCAAACCCTAGCTAATACCATATATATACGCAGTCTACGAAACTAGATTATCAGCAATAACGAAGACCAAAAACAAAAACTGGAAGCTCAGATTTCGTTCTAGGGTTTCAAATTTCCAGCACTGCAACTATTCTGCTTCTGAATTTACGAAAATTAAAGGCAAAGCTTGGAGAAGAAGGAGAGACCTACCGGTTGAAGTTGCCAATTCAGTTCGTGTGCTCCACAGTCGCACAGAGAGAGACGGGGGTAGGGGGTGGTGCGCAGTTTAAGCAGTGTGCGCTCACCGGTGACTTGTAGCACAGATCGACGAGGGAAGGGAAGTTAAAAGGCGGCAAAAGTGAAATGAAAATGGAAGAAGAAAATTTGGATTTCAGAAGATTTTAATACACTTTTTTGTAAGTGACTGATTTTAAATAATTTTAATAAATTGTACAATTTTATATAGATTTTGACAGATTTTATATGGATTCCTATTATGGATTTGTATGTATTTTTTCTTGGATTTCCTATGATTTTGTAAAAATTGAGAATCACACGAATTTTTTTTTAATGAAATCCAATGGTTGAGATTAACCTTTCAACTCTGTAGTTGAAACCCTAACAATTTTTTTAATTTTCTGTCGATGCTCCTTCTCTTCAGAGTTAAAATGCATTGTCAACACCTTGGTTAAGCACCATTTCAAGAATGGGGATCTTGATTTTGCTTTGGGTTGAAGGAAATGAAAGGTCCAAAATTTCTTGCCCTAATTTGATTAGGTGCTCAGCTCTCTTGGGTGGTCTCTGTTGAAGTGGAAGACTCACAGAAGCAATGGAGTTGTCCGAATGTATGATCTCAAAGGACCAAATTTTGCCCGATGTCCTAGCTTACAACATTTTGATTAATGGGTTTTTGCCATGGTGGGAAAGTCGGTAGGGCTAGGAAGATAGTGGAGTTTATGAAGAGCAATGGATGCAGCTCAAATGTATTCAATTATACGGCTCTGATGAATGGTTTCTTTAGAGCAATTCCGTCCCTAAAAAAATGTGTCAGCACCCAGCCTATTTAATCCACTCAATGAATAGTGATAAATCTTATGAATAGTAATATGCCAAATGCATCTCCACCCCTAACAAAAAATAACCTAGTCCATTTTATTAAAATATGATTAAATATAATGCATCTCCAATTGGACTTTTAAAATAATGACATGTTCCCCCTCATTTGACTGGTTCTCTCTCTTTTCTTTCTCTCTCTCTCTCTCTCTATCTATTTTCTCTCCCTCTCTCTCTCTTTTCCAGCTCACTCCTATGAGCTCTCCTTCTCCTTCCTCTTCAAACCCTTCAACAAATCAAACACAAAATATTATTTTTGTAATCCTTGGAGCTCAAGGAACCCAACCATGGCCTTGCATGTGGCATCGGTGCATGGTGCGAGGTCCTAATTGAAGCCGAGAGCTTGAGCTCTCAATCTCTAACCCATGAGATGTTTCTATCACTGTATTGTGTTCTTGAGTTTTAAATCATGTTGTGTTGCAATTTTTGTGGTTAATTCGAGGGCTTAATTCCCTGCATGTGATTCCAACAAAGGAAAACGGACAAACTCCGACGAGTTTAGGGTCTAATTCTCGGTGAAATCTCTTGCATTTCACCTGGGTAAGTTTTCAAATTTTCCGACAAACTCGGGCCATCACTTTCAGGTGATTTGCCTTCTCCCTCCATGGCTCCTTCCCTCCTGACACCCTCTCTCGTCTCGACCAACTCCACTCCTCATCCTCCATAACAACTCCCTCTCTGGCGCAAAAAAAAAAAAAAAAAGATAAAAAAAGTGACTGACGTCAGCCTGCGTCATGTAGGCCGTCCTATGATTTTGTCGATTCTGGGTCGGTCTCTTGCCTGGCTTGGGTTGGGTTCCAGCCTATCCGCTAGGCTAGAGTTCCAAGCCTGGGTGTCGGGCTATTTTTTTGGCTGGGTGCCGGCCTATCAGTTCCCTGGCGGAACTGCTCTTAAAGAGTAGAGATTGGAGGAGGCCAAGGAAAATTTCCATGAAAATGATGATCTTCAGTATATAACCCGATTACAGTTGGTTACACTACTTTGATTAATTGCTGCTGTACGTAGGACTGGGAAAGTGAATGAATGCTCTTGAGATGCAGGAGAACGACAACATTGATAGAGGATTTTGAATTATGGTTTTGAGATTTTTTTTTTCTTTAAGGGAAAAACTCATAAAATCAAACCTACAATTCGCAACATTTGTTTACGAATTTGAACTTGTTAAAAAATATCCATGGATGAGGATGGAGAAGATGAAGTCGAAAAGAACGATGAGATATAAGGAAGGGTTTTCTTATGTGGAAAAAGAAATATGAGAGGAGGATAGGATTCTTGATGGCATATGATATTTATACCATACTCTGTCAAATCCATCATTAATTGAAATCCTAGCAAATCCTTAGGATTCTCACTACACCTAGATTTGGGTGGACATTTTAAAAATCATAATTGACTATCCATAGATTTCGATGTATTCTTTAAAATCATTTCAAATCTTAGTTTGACTACACCATGATTTCAAACTCTTTTAAAATCTTTTTTTCAAAATCCTAGTTGAATACGCAGTGATTTTAAAGTCTATTAAAATCCCACTAAATCCTAATTTGACTACACCTCCAAATCGTGGAAAGAACTAAAGAAAATTAAAGAACAAAACTTAATAAATGGTGTGTAGAAAGTAAAAAATAAGTTTGTGAATACCACTATTAAATAAAATTATGTGTTGATTTTCTTTAATTTTTGTTTTTAACAAAATTATGTATGCATTGCATAACACAGATATGGGTGGTTTAGGTATGATATTCCAAATCGAAAAATGGGACGGGAATTTGAAGACCAATCCCAAATTAAAATTTCAGTATTTCTAATTTTTGGGATTTCTGAAATGTTTTCGGTATTTCGAAATTGATCTAGATTGGATTTTTAGTTCTGAGTTTTTTGGTTGAAATTTGAGATTTTGGGCTACGAGCTAAAAAATTGACTTTCAGCCTAAAATTTTATTTCCCAATTTCATATCAATTGAAATTTAAGTTTTTTACTTCATGCTAATTGAAAAAGCATTTCATTTGTACCAAGTCAAATTGATATTTGAAAGTTCCAAACTACTTAATTTCATATTTCTATTTCTAATGTAGTCTATTATTAAATTACTTAAATTCAACATTCAACATGCATGCAATCAAAATAAATATATATATTTTTTGGGTTCGGTTCGGGATTTCCGAACCATTAAATATGTAATCTTGATTTCTGTACCGAAAGGTTTGGGATGGGTTCAGTATGGATCCTAAAATTTCGATATTATCAATTTGGGAATTTTTGGGTATGGAATTGAAATTTTTTTTGATTGGTTTGGGATTTAACTTGTCAAAGCAAGTTAAAAAAAACATGATACATGTTTTAGGCTTATTCTTAGCAAGGTAAAAAACAAATATCGGGTATAGTACATACTAGTTTTTAGTACCCGCGAGTTGCCTCGGGTTTAAAATTAAGATGACATATTCTGTTAAAAATGTGAAAATTTCAATTACAAAACAAGAAGAACAATAATAGTAAAGACTTTGGAAAGGGATATTTTGGATGCGGTCCCTAATCCTTAACATTCTTTGATTAAAACCTTAATAGTATTCAAAGTTTGATCAAGGTCCCTTGACTTTGTACACTTCATTATATTACTATTAATATTTATATTTTTATAGTTTTGACATTAATTGTTTGATATTTTATGAGATTTATAATCCTATAAATTTAAAATCCCTCATTATAATACTATTAGAAACGGTTACAATAAAAAAATTCAAATATTTTGATTGAATAAATGGATAAAAACTATATAAAAATAAGAAATAATAAATGGCAAAAGAATGTATCCATAGTGTTAAAAAAATTGGTACATTTCACATATAACAAAGTGGTACATTAATAAAGAATAATGGGTACATTAGAAATAAATTAGAGTACAGATAAAAGATTAAAAATTATGAATACAAATGAATTTTTAAAAATATAGGCGCTAAAAGAAATTAATACATGGGTACAAAATAAAACTAAAAAGAAAATACTACAAATTTAAAAAAAAAAATGTTGCAAATTAAAAGTGGGTACAAACTAAAAATATATATGATACAAAGTTTAGGCATAAAACATAAATATACCATATGTAATTTTTCTATCATTGATTAAATATACAATATCACGTGACTGTATACACATGGGTACAAATACAAATAAAACTTTAAAAAAATATGGGGACAAAAAAAAAAACCTAATATATGGGTCCAAATTAAAAATGAAAAAGAAAATTGGTACAAATTAAAAAAATATTTACAAATTAAAAATAGGTACAAACTAAAAATAAAAATATATGATAAAAAAATTTAGCCATAAATATAAATATACTAATTGTAACATTTTTAACATTAAAGGAATATATTTAAAAATAAAAATATTTTATTATTCAAATAATTAATGATATTATTAATACCCAAGGACCTTGATCAAAAATTGAAAATGAATAGGGTTTTAATCAATGGAGTAACAAAAAGAAGGATGTGAACCTAATTTTCCCCTTTGGAAAAGAGTTACACATAAAAGGTTCAATTTGGAGAACATAAAGAAAGATATTACAGTTATTCATTCCATTGTAGCAGTTGTGTGTATCTTTGGACCAGGAGGGTCGCATTCAGTTACAAAAATTAAGAAATCCTGGTACAAAGATACAAAAAACATTATAATAATTCATTTTGTCCTAATAGCCCCATGTAATGGGCAACCTGTTATAGCATTTGCATACAAAAAATGAGGAGATGCAAAACATATTGTTGAGTCCCGACTCCTGAGCAAAAAAAAGATATTTATAGGTTTTTAAACATGTTAAACATCATTTAATATAGATTAACAAAAGACGGGAAACATCCTTGAGCAGAGCAGTCAGAGACTTAGGGCTGGTTTGGTATTGCTGTGCTTTGAAAAAAAGCTGCTGTGAGAATAAGTGGCTGTGAAATAAATCAGCAGTGTTTGGTAAACTTTTTTGTAAAAGTGCTTTTGGAAAAAAAAAAGTCTAATAGTGGGTCCTTTCATTAAAGGAGCGCTGTAGTTCCGTGTGCTTTGAAAAAAATCCAATTTTTCAAAACTGCAAATAGCAGCTTCAGCTTTTTCCTTTGATTTCAGCTTATTCTCACAGCAGCTTCCAAAATAAGCTTTTTTTTTTTCATTTTACCAAACACCTAAAACCCTGACAGCTTTTTTTCATGGGTGTTTTTTTTTTTAAGCACCTCACTCCCAAACCACCCATTAGCTAGGAATCAGTATCACACTAGAAAGCTACGAGATTAGAAAATGCATGAAAGATTATGTTTAAAATATATATAAAAAAAATTGTTGTAGTAAATTGTTTCAAATTAGGTACAAAACAATCATACCCAATGTTGTGAATAAAGGTTTTGTCTGGAATAACACTGATTTTATATCTACATTGCGGTTCCTGCTAGAATAAGAACAAATTTACAAAATGATTTGCTTATTTTGGTAAGAGATCAACAAATCAGGTATGATTTATGAGTAAATGTAAGAACGGATAAAACATTTTAAATAACTATAAGTTTTACAGAAAAGCTTTCAATCCAACATCATCCAAAACTATGAAATAACAAAATATATACCATGATTAAAAAAAAAAAATTCACATATTCAACTTTCACAATATTCAAATAAAAAAAATTGTTGGAGAAAATGCTGAAAGGAAAAATTCACAATTAAATACCTTGAGCATAAAGGGTTTCGAAAGCTGTAGACAAAAACCCTAGAAAATGAAGAGCAAAGTGTTCTGAAACAAAAAAAAAAAAAAAAAAAAAAAAAAAAAAAAGCAAATCATACAACCAAACGATCTAACGATATAAACAAAATATCCAAAATTATAAAAACAAAATTACAAAAAACGAAGAACAATGTGTTCTGAAACGAAAAATAGAAGCAAATCATGTAGCCAAAATTAGAATGAATGATTTCATATCTTCTAGATAAATCGTATTCTCTTTCGTTATGTATGATAAACATTGAAAGTTATAGCATGCCAATTCCACATAAGACTATACCCAAACCTTTAGACAGATGTCAGTAGATGGTCAAAAGCTGGGTTTTTGTTCATCGATCACTACAAAACAACACAAAGTTGTATATTGCTATGCGACATGTATTGAATAAATTCTAAAGGGGCATTTACAGTAAAAAAAAAAAAGCTCTACATACTTTTTCTTGGAATGTTAGCCTTCTTCGCCAAAACATTAACAATAGCTATAGCCCGTAAAAATAGGAAATCAACTTTTTACCTGCATCATCATAGAATGGCAGCCACGAAAATTACCTAGATAAAAACTGAATGGAAAAATTACCTGTCTCATGCCCTCGGAGAGGTATGGGTAGTCGTCAGTGATGGTATCAGAAGATTCTTCAAGTTAGTGAAAGCATCCACTGCTGAACTTGCTTGAGGCTCCTACAGCGCCACCTGAGTTGACGAAATTTATAATCTTTTATCAATGCAAAATTTATTTGATATCATTTTGATAAAAATTTAATAAGTATAAAAGAGATGAAAATTAAGGCTTACATGGTGAAGATTCTTTTTCTTGCTTGTCATACTGTTGAATTATTATTGTGTTTGCAGTCGATATGCAAGGGATATTAAAGTAAAGGATAAATTTTGTAAGAAAAAAGTTAACAAAATATGTAAAATTTTGGTTGAAGTGAAGTAAGTTGACATAAAAGAGAAAGCAAAATGATGAAACTTATCTTTCTTTTTTGCCAATTATTGCGAAGAAAACATTTATCTGCAAAAAATTAAATTTAACACAAATTAAATTTCAATACAAATTTTAGCTCTATTTATATTAGACAAAGATCCGTTCAAACAACCATAAACACTGAAATAAAAAATTGAAGAACCAACATTTTTCAAAAGCCACTGGCTCCACCCTCTTAACTTTTAAGTAATCTACTGAAGACGAAATTAATCTGAAATTAAAACAAACATCATTACTTAAATCAACCGAAAATGTAGAAAATATAGAATGACACAAAAACATACATCCTCAATTCCTTTCTACAGGTAAGAAAACAAAACATCTCTAAAACAACCAAAACCTCATTCTACATCAATTAAATTATAGCTTGAACTGTTAAAAAAAAAAAAATTGATTCCAAAACCTCTGCATCACTGATTTAAAAACTTGTGCCAAAAAACTGTAAATACCTTCAACAACTTAAGGAGCAAGCAATAATTTTGTTGGTCCGACAAATTCAATTAGTCTTTCTCCTAATTCCTATGTAACTTTCCCCAAAGCTTGCTGTAAAGACCATTATAATATCATCCCTTTAAAGTATGAATAAGCTCACATTATTATTTGTAATAATATTATATTACCCAGTCTAGCTTGATCAGTGGAAGATTTTGGGGAGTCTGACCATTTGTTCAAAACACAATGAAGTGGGATTCAAGACATGGTAGATACTGCAAGCTAACCACCAAGTTAAAATGACAAACCATAATTTCTCTCCATCCCTCTTATCTCCCTCACTGTTAAAGCAAACTAATAACAAATTCTCAACTTATCAAATCTAAGTAGTCCAGAAAATTATAAAGAAACCAAAATAAAAATCTAAACCCAAACTCTGATTTGAATATAATCAGACAACAAAAAAGCAAATATAAGTCTAATATAAAACCAGAAACCAAACAAAACTCTAAAATCTTGAAATCACTCACCTTAAATAGATAAGGATCTAAAGGCTGCAAACAAAAGGTCCAAATTCCAAAGAACCATGATTTCCTAAAGCCAATAATAAAACAAAATTAAACACCATGATGGGGAATCCATATTAGCAATGGAGGAATTGAATTGATAACTAAAACTGCAAGACCAAATGAAGGTCAGCCTAATAAGGCAAAATATGTAAGGCAGTAAAAGAAATTATTGCCCAGTAACAATGATAGATAAGCACTTATGAAAACTAAACAATTTTTTTTCATTTATGTCAACTCCTAAAAATAACCTATGCAATCCCAAAAATGTTGATACAAAGTCGGAGTATCGATGCTTGAAATTGGTACTTGAACCAACAACCTCCTCCATGAATATGTTTGTTTGCTGAATGGTTTTGGTTGAAGATGTGAAAGGAAATGTAATTTCTTAAAAGAAGGAGAAAACACAAAGACGAACAAGTGTAAGTATTCATACCTGAATCAAATTTGCAATCTTTACGTACAAAACCAAATTACATCTTTCAACAAAAAAGAATCAGCCTTCAATTATTAGCCTAAATATTGATTTGCAAACACAATGCAGCAAGAGTTGTTCAATAGCTCATTTTGGATTATAGGAAGTCCATTCAAAGAACTGAAAAAGCATAAATGAAAATATTCTAGAACCAACCTTTTTTCTGGAAACCATTGGTTCTAGTCTTGTGATCTTTGATTCATTTAGCGAGGACCAAATTAATCTGAAATAAAAAGAAACCTGTTTGTTAAATCAACTCAGAATTCAAAACTAATAGAGATTGACAATGAAAAAAGGTATTCGCACACACATAATGCAATACACACGTGTAATATACAATTGAGTAAGATACTTTGGTGTCATGTGGATCATTAAATGTTCCCTTGGGCCACAATTACTCCTTTAGGGGAGTTGAGTAACTCAGAAGAGTGTAGAAACTACTCCTTTTATCGTCGAATCAGGAAGGAAGAATTGGTTGTAGCTTTGAAGAAGATGAAGCATAGAAAAGCAGTGGGCCCAGACGATATACCGATTGAAGTGTGGAAAGCCTTGGGAGAGACAGGTATAACATGGCTCACTGACCTTTTCAATAGGATTTTGAAAACGAAGAAGATGCCAAACGAGTGGCGAAAGAGCACCTTGGTGCCTATTTACAAGAATAAGGGCGACGTACAAAATTGCATGAACTATAGGGGTATTAAGTTAATGAGTCATACAATGAAGCTCTGGGAGAGAGTCATTGAGCATAGATTGAGGCAAGAGACGCGGGTTTCGGACAACCAATTCGGGTTCATGCCAGGGCGCTCAACCATGGAGGCAATCTATCTCTTACGAAGATTGATGGAAAGATATAGAGATGGGGAAAAGGATTTACACATGGTCTTTATAGATTTGGAAAAAGCGTATGATAGGGTCCCAAGAGACATTCTTTGGAGGATTTTAGAGAAGAAAGGAGTACGAGTAGCATATATCCAAGCTATAAAGGATATGTATGAAGGAGCAAAGACTGCCGTAAGAACTCATGAAGGACAAACCGAAAGCTTCCCCATAACTGTAGGATTACATCAAGGCTCATCCTTAAGTCCTTACCTTTTTGCGTTGGTAATGGATGAGTTAACAGGACATATTCAAGATGATATTCCTTGGTGTATGCTTTTCGCAGACGATATAGTGTTGATAGATGAAACTCAGGAAGGGGTAAATGCGAAGCTTAACCTTTGGAGAGAAGTGTTGGAATCTAAAGGTCTTCGCCTAAGCCGATCAAAGACAGAATATATGGAGTGCAAGTTCAGTGCAAATGGAGGCCAAAATGAGTTAGGGGTGAGGATCGGAGATCAGGAAATACCAAAGAGCGACCGTTTTCGCTACCTAGGATCTATCTTGCAAAAGAATGGAGAATTAGATGGAGATCTCAACCATAGAATACAAGCTGAATGGATGAAGTGGAAGAGTGCATCTGGCGTGTTGTGTGATTGTCATATGCCACTGAAGCTTAAGGGAAAATTTTATAGGACGGCAATAAGGCCGGCGATGCTGTATGGCACAGAATGTTGGGCGGTGAAGCACCAACACGTACACAAAATGGGTGTAGCGGAGATGAGGATGCTTCGTTGGATGTGTGGGCACACAAGAAAGGATAAGATTAGGAATGAGGATATCCGAGGTAAAGTAGGAGTAGCCGAAATTGAAGGAAAACTGAGAGAAAATCGGTTACGGTGGTTTGGACATGTGCAAAGAAGGCCTACTGACGCTCCGGTTAGAAGATGCGACTACGGGACAGAGGTTCAGGGCCGAAGGGGTAGAGGAAGACCTAGGAAAACTTTGGAAGAGACTCTAAGAAAAGACTTAGAGTACTTGGATCTAACGGAAAAGACTTAGAGTACTTGGATCTAACGGAGGACATGACACATGATCGAGCACAATGGCGTTCTAAGATTCATATAGCCGACCCGACTCAGTGACTTGGATTTTTCAAGTCTCCAATTGAGAAGTTTTCCCCACTCGGGAAATTAAGGGAACACTACCTTAACCTACATGCTCCACTCACAAAGCTTCAACATACAAGCTTCAACAAAAGCAAAAATTCAAAGAACTTTAGTGAAGAAGGCTTTGGCTGTATTTAACACAATACGTTGAAATGAAGCAAAGCTTATTTATTGATATCTCTAATAAGTTACAAATATGTACATATACATGAGTCAAAATAAACAAAAACAAGAGGGAGCCTTCACAAAGGTTGCTTAGGAGAAGTCTCAGCAGTCGGTAAAGCCCCAGAAAGAGAAAGGCACCGGAGGGGGTTCATTCGGAGCCTCAGTACTTGGACAAGAACCCCTAGAAGGAGGAGGCATTCAGAGGTTCATCATTTGGAGCTTCATTACGCTGTACAGCCCCAGAAGACGAAGGCAATAAATGCCTTTGGAACAAACCCACAAACCGCTGATGATCAAGTAAAACCTTGACCATCAGATTCCTTCATCTGGTCAAGCTTCCTCTTCATGTTTGTAGCATAGTCATGGAGCGAGCCGGTGCAACTGTTTATTCTCATGCTTGAGCCCTCTAATCTCCTGTTTGAGACTCATCACTTCAGCCGCCAATGATTCAACTTGGCGAGTTCAAGCAAATAGGCGTTGGGCCATATTAGACACAGAACCTGCACACTGAACACTGAGAGCCAGAGAATCCTTAACAGCCAACTCATCAGACCGTTTGGAAAGTAGTCTGTTATCTTTGGGAGTGGGAAAGTTCCTGGCCACCACCGCAGCGGTCATATCATTCTTCATCACGGAATCCCCAACGGTAAGAGGACCAGTAAGGGATAAGAAGGATGGGCGCCATATGTTGTCTGGAGAAGGCGTGGCTGCCTCTTCAACAAGGTTCAAGTCAAAACGACGGTCGGAGGGGTCAGACATTTTCAAAGGTGTTAAAGAGAAAAGAGGTCGGACAAATCAAGATCTTAGAAATGCAAGAAGGGAGCTTCTACTGGTGGAGATTCAAGTGTGCTTTGGAACTTAATGCCAGCCTCTATAAAAATTCGCACTCGATGGAGCTTCAGAAATCGAAGAGGCACCTGCTCAGAAATCGAAAAGGCGTTTGCTTTCTCAAAAGCTGGGCTGCTCAGAGACCACGAGGGCCGATCTCAGAAATCGAAGAGGCGTTTGCTTTCTCAAAAGCTGGGCTGCTCAAAGACCACGATGGTCGATCGCAGAAATCGAAAAGGCGCTTGCTTTCTCAAAAGCTGGGCTGCTCAGAGACCACGAAGGCCGATCTCAGAAATCGAAGAGGCACCTGCTTTTTCAGCCTTGTCAGCACCTGTCACATGCACACTCAGCTTTGCGGAAATTACGGGCATTCTGTCGAAGATTTCTGGTGAAGTAGAAAGCACGTGGATCTTACTGTTCAATCATTCACTTTCCACACGCAACATCAAGCTCACGGGTACCACAGATAACTTTGCCAAAGATCTCTGACAAAGTTTAGACACGTGAAGCTTGCAGCTCCCATTACATCGCTATGACCAAGAAGGGTAAAAGAATAGCAAAGAAACAACACTAACAAAGTTTAGACACATAAATTTTGAAGGTCTAGCTACCATATTATTACCCACAAGGGTAAAGGAACAGGACCATTGCTGGATAATTGGAAAGTCCCTATGTGTGTCAACCTCTGTGCTCCGTGGCAAGGTAGACTAGCAAACATGCCTAACCTTTACTCACATCCGAGAAAACACTCCCAATAAGATTGCTTACTTCAAGATCGAAGAGGCACCGTCCTCCGAATCTCGAGAGCCAGACTCCCAACATGATTACTTTCTCAAAAAGAGACGAGACACTGCTCTTCGAATCTCGAGAGCCAGACTCCTAGCAGGATTGCTTTCTAAAAAATCGAAGAAGCACCGTTCTCCGAATCTTGAGAGACAGATCCCCGACAGAATTGCTTGTTCGAAAACCGAAGAGGCACCGCTTTCTCAACTTCAAGAGCCAGATCTCCTTGGATAAAGCTTGTCTGTAATCTTCACACGTAACATCAGCTTTCCAAATACCACAGACCACTTTTTCAAAGTGCTCTGACAGAGTTAAAACACGTGAAGCTGGCAGCTTCCACTACCGTGCTATGACCAAGCAGGGTAAAAGAATAGCATTACTACTTGTTATTGGGAGACTCCTATATATGTCGACCTCCATCCTCAACGGACAGGCAAGACCTGCAAAAATGCTCAACCCTTTCCTCATATATCGAAGAGGGCACTCCTCAACGAAGCCTCTCGAAATACTCAGCTTTCTTTCCCCCCGATAATACCTCTGCAAACAAGCCTACACCAAGAGTAAGAATATCTCATATCATCAGGGTTAAAAGCAAGAGTATCCCATATCATGCTTTTTCCCTGTTTTTTCCTTTGGCCTTGTTCTTACCTGCAAGACAAGGAGAAAGAGAGCAATCAGTCAGCACTTGGAATCAAAGCTTCCAGTCCGGAACTGACTGCCTGGAACCCCTTATTGCTGCTCTCGAGTACTCATCTTCAACATCTTATGCTTCCCGAGAAGATACCACATATTGCCTGAGGAACAAATAGGGCAAGTGAGAAGGATACAAGGAAGCATGTGGAGACAAGCGCAACAGAACACGTGCCGATACATTCACTACTTTGTCAACAGCAAAAGTATCCCATATCAGCAAGGGTCGAACGTACTCTAGATTTGATGGACTTGTTTTGACCTCTCAAATTCTTCAGTCGGCCTTATACTCTGGCGGAAACAGAAAACCCTCCAGCCCGGTTCAAGAATAAGCCTGTGGAAAGTTACTTTTTCAAAAGCAAAAGTATCTCATATTACCTTTTCTTCTCTTTATCCTTCATGCTACCTGCAAGATAAGGAGAAAGATAACAATCAGCCGGAACTCGAAATCAAACTTCTGATCTGGGACTGATTGCTTGGAGTTCTGATTGCTTACCTTGTCTGTCACCTTTTTCAGCAGATCCCCTAACTTGGCGACTTGGGGGACTCCTACTACATGGTTTGTATCGTGCTTGACCAAGCCTGAAACTACAAGTAAACGTCAAGTGAAATTGATACATTACCTTGTGCATCTCCACCAGTTAAAGATACCACCCTTGGAGGGAGGAAGAGTACTTCCAAAGAAGATGCCACATCTACCTATGAGACAGATAAGGCAAGTGAAGACGATACCACACTTCGGTACTTAAAAGTTTCGTGATTACGAGATCATTCTTCCACAATATTTCCTAATGTCATTTGTACTAAATCATTCACTTGTACTCACTAAATGAGAGCTTGAACCTATATACTGTGTAAACCCTTCACAATTAATGAGAACTCCTTTACTCCGTGGACGTAGCCAATCTGGGTGAACCACGTACATCTTGTGTTTGCTTCCTGTCTCTATCCATTTACATACTTATCCACACTAATGACCGGAGCAATCTAGCGAAGATCACAAACTTAATATTTAAGATGATATTCTTTGGTGTATGCTTTTCGCAAACAATATAGTGTTGATAGATGAAACGCAGGAAGGGGTAAACGCGAAGCTTAACCTTTGGAGAGAAGTGTTGGAATCTAAAAGTCCTCGCCTAAGCCGATCAAAGACAGAATATATGGAGTGCAAGTTCAGTGCAAATGGAGGCCAAAATGAGTTAGGGGTGAGGATCGGAGATCAGGAAATACCAAAGAGCGACTGTTTTCGCTACCTAGGATTTATCTTGCAAAAGAACGGAGAATTTGATGAAGATCTCACCCATAGAATACAAGCTGGATGGATGAAGTGGAAGAGTGCATCCGGCGTGTTGTGTGACTGTCCTAGGCCACTGAAGCTCAAGGGAAAATTTTATAGGACGGCAATAAGGCCGACAATGCTGTATGGCATAGAATGTTGGGCGATGAAGCATCAACACGTAGGTGTAGTGGAGATGAGGATGCTTCGTTGGATGAGTGGGCACACGAGAAAGGATAAGATTAGGAATGAGGATATCCGAGGTAAAGTAGGAGTAGCCGAAATTGAAGGAAAGAGGAAAGAAAATCGGTTACGGTGGTTTGGACATGTGCAAAGAAGGTCTACTGACGCTCCGGTTCGAAGATGTGACCACGGGACAGAGGTCCAGGGCCGAAGGGGTAGAGGAAGACCTAGGAAAACTTTGGAATAGACCCTAAGAAAAGACTTAGAGTACTTGGATCTAACAGAGGACATGACACAAAACCGAGCGCAATGGCGTTCTAGGATTCATATAGTCGACCCCACTTAGTGGGAAAAGGCTTTGTTGTTGTTGTTGTTGTTGTAATATAAACTGGATAAACACAATCCATCTCTTTATATCCACGTCTCAAATAAAAAAAAATCCTACACAAAAATGTGACACACAAAGTTAGCGATCACATTGCTTCCCTATATCAACACAAATGTATGAAAAATAACGACAAATGAAAAGAAAAAAGGTGGACACATATCATATTTTCATGGTATATGCCATAAGTAAGACAAAGATCAATTCCAATTAAAGTTAAATACTCACTGGTTAAAATTGTCTACACTACACATATGCAAATAAATTCCTGGTAAATTAAGAGAACAAATAAAGGTAAGTGATATATTAATTTATGGTTGGAAGCATTTTGACAATCGGTAAAAGATCATCTCTTACAAAACTGAAAATAGAACGCTTTGTACTCGAATATAGAAGAATGAACATAATATTGTCTTATTAGCTAAAATTATAAATTGAGTACACCTCAAAATACCCTATGGACTTGAAACACATATTGGAATTTCTAGTAGCAGACAGATAAAATGATGCAAAAAATGAATTACTAATAAAGATCCAGATAGCTAAAATATTATTACATTTGGAGAAAACAAGTGTTTGGCCACTAAGTTGTAGCAACACCTTCGAACAAAAAATAATTAATGTTTAAGATGTGTGAGATGGATGGTGAGGATAGCAAAGAGGATACCTTGGTGGCTCTCATGAATTACACAAATTTCTTAAACAACATATGACCATAGAGATTGAGTGGAGAAGAGAATGAGAGAATCCCAAATAAAATTCTAGAGAGAGAGAGAGAGAGAGAGCACTCACCATGAAATTAAAGCTGCTCGACGAATTTCTTTGAATCTGGACGGCATTCACATTTTTTATTTCTTGCAAAAAGACCAAACAAAACTCTAAAATCTTGAAATCACTCGCCTTAAATAGATAGGGATCTGAAGGCTGCAAACAAAAGCCCCAAATCCAAAGAACCATGATTTCCTAAAGCCAAAAATAAAACAATTAAACACCATGATGGGAAATCCAAAGCTACAAACAAAATCCCCCAAATCACAATAACAAAATTTAAACAAAAAACCCCATTCATAAATTAAAATTTACACTACTAAATACATCATATTCAGAGCAGAGAATTACCCACCCCCAAATCGGCACTAAGAAACACTACCTTTTACTGCCTTCAAATTTTCTTCTAATTAACACCAAATATATTAACTGTTTTTTCATCGACAAAAGCTCATCATTTCAAATTTTCCAGAAAAAAGATGTGTTTTTAGCAAGAAAGTGAGAGAACTCAAGATCGTTACTGCCATGAAAACTCGTTGACTCGCTTATGCGAACCACTGAATTTTTGTGTGTCCTGAATCTCAAATTCCCTATAACTTGGGGTCTCTCTGTTCCTAATCAGGCTTTTATCTAAGCAATACTTGAAATCGAGATAGAGAGAGAAAATTAACAACAACGAAAAGAGAGAAAATGGATATGCTGAGCTTGGACTTCAGTCCTTCGTTCATCCCGAAAACAATCACCACTTTCTCGCCCAGCTCATCGCCATTAAAGATGGCTCTCAAAGGTCTTCAAAGCTCAATGGGTACGTGAAAAGATTGGAAGATGAACTCAGAAAGATTGAAGTTTTCAAGTGTGAGCTTCCTCTCTGCATGCTTTCTCTTGAAAGTGTAGAAAGTGTTAAAAAAGATGTTTTCATTGATTAACTTTAATTGTCATTACACAAGAATATATATAGCCATAAACAAAATTGACCTTGATGAGATTCGCCAAAACTAACTCGTGAATATAATGATAGTCGATCTCCACATGTTTAGTTCGGGCATGGAATACTGGATTAGAAGCAAGGGAGATAGCTGAAATATTGTCACACCAGAGGGTAGGAACCTGAGAGAGAGGGAAACCAATGTCACGAAAGATTTTGCATATCCAAGTCAGTTCAGCGGGTGTGCAAGAGAACGGTATTCTGCTTCCGTTGATGATCGTGCCACAGTAGCTTGTTTCTTGGCACTCCAACTGATGAGGTTGGGTCCTAAAATTACAGTATAACCACTAGTGGAACGCCTATCAAAAGGACAACCAGCCCAGTCTGCATCTGAGAATGCTGTGAGAGTAGTGGCACCTTTTTTGAACCATAGTCCTTTAGACATAGTACCTTTGAGATAACGAAGAACTCATTTTGCAGCTTGCATATGTTGGTCTCGAAGAGCATGTATGAATTGACAGATTTGATTCACAGCAAAAGAAATATCAGAACGCGTCCATGTCAAATACTGTAAACCACTTACAATAGATCGATACCAGTGGGATTGGACAAAAGAGGACTAGTGTGATCCAATTTATTTGATCCAAGTGGAGTGCAGCAAGACTTTGCACCAGCCATATTGGTTTTGCTGAGAAGATCCAGTAAATACTTGGATTGATGAAGGAAAAGACATGTGGATGATCGTTGAACCTCTAATCCTAGAAAATAGTGCAATGGACCCAAGTCATTGATTGGAAAAATAGCACTGAGTTTTTGAATGAATAGATTGCAGAGTGAAGAGTCAGGTCCAGTGACTAATATGTCATCGACATACACAAGTACCAGGACAGGAGTTGTACTGTGAAGAACAAATAAGGAAGCATCTGAGGAAGATTGCTTAAAACCAAGCTGAAGAAGAGCTTGAAACAGTTTGTCAAACCAAGCTCGAGGTGCTTGTTTGAGACCACAAAGAGATTTCCGTAATTTGCAGACATGATGTGGCATATTGAGATCAGTAAAACCTGGAGGCTGCTGCATGTATACATCATCCTTTAAATCACTATGAAGAAAGGCATTACTTATGTCTAATTGATTTAAAAACCAATTGAACTGCACAGCCAGTGATAAAATGACTCGAATTGTGACTGGTTTAGCGACAGGACTGAAGGTTTATTGAAAATCAATTCCTTCTTGCTGATGATACCCCTTTGCAACCAGACGAGCTTTAAATCTCTTGACAGTACCATCAGGTTTCTTCTTTATTCGGAAAACCCACTTGCAACCAACAACATTGTAGGAGGAAAATGGAGGAACAAGTGTCCAAGTTCCTGTTGATTGTAAGGCATTGAACTCATCTTGCATGGCAAATCTCCAGTGAGCATGTTTAGATGCTTGCAAATATGTATTTGGGACAAAGTCAATATCAGATGGAAGAGGATGTTTTGTAGCTGCATATACTTTGGGTTTGAAGATACCAGCTTTAGAGCGAGTGATCATATGATGATTGTTGGTAGGGGGCAGGGAAATAATAGGGACAGCATGCGGAGATTTGTGATGTGGAGGTGCTGTAGGTGATGCAGTATTTGCAGGAATGAGACCTTGAGAAGAACCAAAGTGTGAACCTGAAGAAGAACAATTAGAGTGGGATCTCAAATCTGGAACTGAAGATCCAGAAGAAACACCAATGCTGTTAGGAACAGTGAACTGCAGATCCATATGAGCTGAAACAGAGTTTGAAGAAGTAACTAAACTGGTGGGAGGAGACTGAAAAGGATATGTTGCTTCATCAAACTGTACATGTCGAGAAATGTAGATACGACTAGTGATTGGGTCAAGGCATCGATAACCCTTGTGTTGTAAACTGTAACCCAGAAAAACACAGCTTTTGCTTTTAGCGTCCAACTTGGAATGAGTATAAGGTTTGAGCCACGGGAAACATCTACAGCTAAAAACTTTAAGGCGAGAGTAATCTGGTGGCCTGAAAAATAGTAATTCCCAAGGAGATTTAAAAGGACCAGAGATTGGTAATTTGTTAATAAGGTACACAGATGTGGAGAAAGCTTCCACCCAATAGAGATGGGGAGTATTAGAGGCAACAAGTAATGTTCTGGCAATTTCCACAATGTGTCTGTGCTTTCTTTCAGTACATCCATTTTGTTCAGGGGTGTGAGGACATGTTAATTGATGAACAATACCATGAGTATGAAGAAAAGACAGAAACATAGCACTAATGCGAAAATTATCTTAACACACAAATTAAACCATCTTGTTGTCAATTGTAGTAAAAAATGTAAGTAGGGATCGTTCTAGGCCGGAGATTAGGAGGGATTGCTAAAACACTTGAAACTGACTTAAAAACGTAAAATTAAGTTTAAAACACCAAACTAGACTCAAAAGATGCAATACAAACTAAAAAGACTCAAAACTAGTTTAAAAGACTCAAAACTGCTTAAAACAATGAATTAGACTCTAAACTGACTCTAGGGATGGTTTTGGACGAAATTAGGTTCTAACTTGACTCAAGACACTTAAAAACACAAATCAAAACAGATTTTGACTAATAAAACACTTTAAAGTAAAGGGGGAATTGATTTTGACGAATTTGAAAACAAAACAAACAGATTGTAAACTAAAACAGATTTTGGACAAATTTGGGTAAGCTATGGATGATGGGCTAGTTAGAGGGTTCTTCTCCACACATGACATACTTGCACATAAACCAATTTTCAGTTGTTCTTTCGATCAATCATGAAACTCAACACCCCAGATTAATTAAGTCCGCTTAAATTAACCTTCAAGTTCTCCTTAAGTTATTGAATTGGATGGGAAAACGCATACAACAATTCAAGCATTCTTCAAAAGTCTTTTACGTGAACAGCACAATAAAGATACAATCAAAGATCATTAAGCATTATGAAAACTATAAGTATTGACGAGGCATTCGTTACTATGATGAGCATGAAACTCCTGCCAAGAATTCATTTAACGAGATCGTTTATAAGCAACCTCCACTACTTGTGAATATAAGTTTGTAACTATTAGGTGAAACTCCCTTATACTCTAGCATCATATTCATGCATGCAAACTAAGTGTGCACTCTTAATAAACATACACGAATAAGTTATCAATCAAGCAGTTAAACAAATTGAATTCACAACTTATGAAATCACAACTGAAGGTAATCAAATCGTATTGCAAGCATGAACATGGTTTCGAATTCCCCCTAGCTAAGGGGGGTTTAGTTCCTCATACTCACAAAGCAAAGATAAACAAATTTAGACATTGAAAACAAAAGAATGAAAACACCTAAAAACGCTCCAACAATCCAACTTGAATGGCAAACATGTCCAAAGGTCCTCCTTATTCTCTTTGTTGCGGCACAAGGTGTGGTTTGATGGATGAGTGGTAAATTATGGTGGTGGATGGATATAGGTGAGTTATGGTGAATGGTGGATGGGTGGATTGTGTTCTCCTCTAGTTTTCTTCTCCCTTGTTATGGTGAAGGGTGGATGTATTTATAGGCTAGGGAGAAGACCACCATCTAATTAAGGTGGTAGTGATAAGTGATGTGGTAATGAGTGGATGTAATGGGTGTAGTGGATGAATGTTTGGTAATGAGTGGATGTAATGGATGTAATGGGTGTGGTGGATGAATGTTTGGTAATGAGTGGATGTAATGGGTGTAGTGGGTGATTGTTTGATAATAAATGGATGTAATGGGTGTAGTGGATGGATGTTTGGTAATGAGTGGATGTAATGGGTGTAGTGGATGAGTGTTTAGTAATGAGTGGATGTAATGGGTGTAGTGGATGCGTGTTTGTTAATGAGTGGATGTAATGGGTGTAGTGGGTGAATGTTGTGGTAATGAGTGGATGTAATGGGTGTAGTAGGTGAGTGTTTGGTAATGAGTGGATGTAATGGGTGTAGTGGATGAATGTTTGGTAATGAGTGGATGTAATGGGTGTAGTGGGTGAGTGTTTGGTAATGAGTGGATGTAATGGGTGTAGTGGATGGATGTTTGGTAGGTGAATGGATGTGTTGGGGGAAATGAGTGGATGTAATGGGTGTAGTGGATGGATGTTTGGTAATGAGTGGATGTAATGGGTGTAGTGGGTGAGTGTTTGGTAATGAGTGGATGCAAT